CACTGAGTCAGACCAGGAGTTCTGCTGCGTCTTTTTTTTTTTTCCTTCGTCCTGAACCTTTTCGCTGTTTACCAAATAACTTTGAGCCTCGGTCAGAAAAAAAGACGAGGGTTTTATATTTCTGGTCTGAGAGGAGGAAAGAAATGGTGGACTGAGACCGATTGAGGTACTTTTTTTTCGCCACGGGATGTGTTTCCTCCTCGCGACACAGCGCTCATCAAATCAGACGTCTTTTTRAAAAAATAAACTGTGTCATATACTTTTATCATATCTTCGGATCTACTTGGCCTAACAACACAATTTAAAAACTGGTTTAAAGTTCGAAGWCTCTACTTTTCATTCAAGAGTCTCAGAGAGGGCGGATCTACAGGTAGAGTTTTTTTTTTCATCCTAAACTTTATTTAGCTCAGCCAGCCTTGACAACGCTCTGCGGGTGACGTAAACGGCTCCGCGACATGGCATCGCATAAAACGCAGGACACAAAGAATCGATAATGAAACTCGTTGCCAACGCTTTTAAATAATCGATTCTTATCGATTTTATTGATTCGTTGTTGCAGCCCTAAATAAAATTACAAGAAAACTCAGTAAATCCTGGTACAGTTAGGCCCACAACTAAAAAAAAATCCTTGGAGTTTTGATGTCTGTGTTTTCGTTTTTTGATTTTTGTTTGCTTTTAACAAAGTGTCATTAACTTGATGTGTTTTCTCTCCTGCATTTTGCTTGACTCCAAGTGTCTATTTATCCTTTTAACCACCAAACTTGTTTTAAAATTTTTTCAGTGATGTACAAAGTGAAGACCAAGACAGCTGGTGACCGAGTGGCACCAACTCTCATTTTGTCCATAATGAAGAAACCTCCTGTGAAAACCAACCAAACCAAGTGAAAGTGTGTGCATTTCATGTCTACAAAAACAGCATATGATTAATCTAGTCTACCCAATTCCAGAGAATAGAAAATGAAAACCTGAGCTTTGGTATGAAAGTAAAAGAACATTTTTTTCTAAGGTTTGAAGTGTGAATACTGTCATTTTATGTTTCTGAACACTGGTCAGTGCAGAGCATAAAATGACATTCAAAGCACCACTTTCAACTGATTTTTTTAAGAATCTGGAGTCATGTTTCTTAAATTTTAGTACTTATTCAAACATTTGTTTAATAAATTGGAAAAAAAAGAAGAAAAGTTAAATCGTATGTGCTAAAATAATCATCAGTTTGAGGAAATATGAGTGTCTTTATGCTAATTGTCTGATACGAACCCTGCCACCAGGATTCTGGGAATTTCAGAAACAAAAGCCTCAGCCATCTCCCTGCTGCCCACATTAGCAATGCAGTGCAGAGCCAGGTTCATGAAGGTTGGATTGCGGCTGGCGAGGTCATTCCTAATGGCGTTGTTGATCAGGCGGATCAGATCGCTGTTGGAGTTCACCAGCACAGAGATGAACAGGTAACCCTGAAGGAGCCAGGAAATACCCCCGCATTAGGGTGAAGCGGTCCTTCGCCAAGTTATTGGTTTTGACAAATTAAACAATTCTTTCACCAAATGAGCCAYAGAAATACTTACAATTTGTTTCTCGGTGTATTTGTTCGAGCTGAGGAGGTTGACAGCCTCCATGTGTCCAAAGTCGATATCATGGCCCAGAAGAAAGATGAAGAGCAGCTTGCAGACGTACTTCTTTTTACTGTAACCATCCAAAGCTTTGTCTCCTATCCACACCCAGAGAAACAGAAAAAAAAATTGATGTAAACAAATTTAAGAAATGCAACAATTTATAATATTCTAACCCGGTCCATTGTTCTGTATCAAACAGTAAAACCAGGGAGGGATACAATTCATCTGGAGAAACAGAGTGTAAGTCTGACAGTCAGAGGTCAATGTTCAATTAAGCAACTTCAATCTTCGAAATTTCACAGATATTTATGTGAACACTCTTTTAAAAACCTTTACATCACTATCAGTTTCTCAATCTCACTTATTTATACAAGTCTGCGGTTATCTGCAAACTCAGCAGTGAGGAGGTACCACTCCCAGTGCAGCCCGAGGTCACTTCAGGCAGGAATTTAATAACATTTCTGCCAAATAAAACCATAAAACGCAAAATAAACGTTGGTGGAAATGATTCAATAATAGCCTGAACCAAAAAAAAACTGCTTTTCTTCAGCAGCATACTAATTACAATCAGAGCGTAAAATRTGAAACCACACTGACAGAGAATTAAGAAAAACTGATTTCCAGTGAGCAGAGTGGGAGAAGACATCGGTCAGAAATTACACTGAAGAGACAAAGCAGACATGACGATACGAAATTCAGCACAGAACATTAGATTATGAAGAGACATCACTGCAACCCAGTTCAAGCTTTCATTAAAATACGTTCAACTGCAGCGAACTACACACACTTTTGACTTTTATCTTTTCTTCTTGTTGATAATAAAAGTCACAAAGAATTAACCTTAAAAAAGACTTTCAAACAAACACTAAGAGCCAGCTGATTACAGCCACTGGCAGTAGTATGTTCTTGCTCAGGAAACTTAGTTTGGGGAGAAAAGGAAATCTGTTAGTTTGATGCGTTATTACTCTCCATCCTTGACGTTTAGTTAGTGTCATAAGTGTTCACTTACCTTTAAATTTGGAACGAATATTGGCCAGCTCTTTGTTTATCCTCTTAACTTCTGCCTCTTTGCTTTTACCTGCAAATAAATCAAAGTATCCACTTATTGAGCTGTTAATAAAAGGCTTCTTCCTTTACACAGCATCACAAAAAGCATAGATGTACCCTGCCAGCTGCCTGCCAACAGAGCTTCCAGCTGGGTTTCTGTGGGGTGTTCAAACTCAGGCGTTTTGTCTAGATGCTGATAATATAACAAGTACTAACAAGTGGCCTGACATCATCACAAGTTCTGGTTACTGGTTTTGTTTAAGCCCAGATGTTAGTATCCATCAAAGACTTTTTAGAGCTAGGATGGCAGCAACTCATAAAGCGCCATCACTCAGCAGGGTGCCGGGTACCCTTTTCTTTTGCAACCTGATACTTTGGCAGTTTTGGTCACTTCGTACCCAGAGTTTCATTGGTCTCTTCATTTTTTTCTCCAGTCTATTTAACCTTTATTTAACCAGGTAAACCCCATTTAAATCACAGGTCTCTTTTTGATGAAAAGCCTGGACCTGAAGGCAGCCTAAACATGCATGTTTTTGGACTGTGGGACAATAATCCCCGATTTATTTTATCAATCTGTCTCCTATGTTTGAAACATCGTGAACACAAGGACGATCGCACTGCTGCTGAGCAGCTGAAACATGACATTCAACAAGATCTGACACAATATCCTCTTTCAAAACGGTAACACAGTCCCCATTTCACAAGAAATTATAACGTGTAAAGAGTTATTTGAACATGACGGAATACACACATGTAGCACAAACAGTAAGGCAATTTGTGTTTGGTAGAATATTTATTTGTTTTATAATGCTTCTTGGAAATAAATCTTGCAAGGGGCACCTGACTGGCAGCACCTGAGGCTACCTTGAGCTCAAAGCAAGTGCTAATAGCAAAATAAGTTGTTTGGCAGAGAACATTTGGCAAATTTTTCATGTGCACAACCAACATACACACTAAGAAATGAGATGTTGGATTTACTTAACCGTGTTATGTCAACTGGTTCCACTTAACTGAGTTGAATAAATCCAAAGCAATATACCCAATTTCTAACCAAAGAACATGAATATAATGCTTTGAATTTACTCAACTCAGTTAAGTAGAACCAGGTGACGTAACATGGTTAAGTAAATCCTACTCAGCTCTACTGCTCATCCCACAAATGCATGTTCCTTACAAATGTGGCACCATTTCAGACTGTACGGATGCCAGGTTTTCCAATGATATAAGATGTATTGCCAAGAATGTTACAACAATATAATCTACCAAACACAAGTTTCCTTAATTTTTGTGCTAAGTTTACATTTGCATGTCTCTTTCCCAGTTTCAGTGTGGTGCTGAAATCAAGTTTGACAGTTTTATTATATTTTAGAAACAGTCTGGTCGATGAACATACTATAATTTAGTTTGTTTTATTATTATTATTATTATTATTATTATTATTATTATTTAGCAGCACATCCACATACTAAAACAAACCGTCAGCACAAACTTCTTGCTTCATAACAACTCAAAAAAATCCATTAGGAGGACTACACCTGATGTTTTTATGGGACAGGGGTGTTACACAAGTCAAAAGTGGATTCTGGTGTATATGCACTAGAAAAGTCTACAAATAAAAGTCTGACGATGACTTGTCCGTGTGAGGTTTTTTGAGTGGGAGGGTTTAAAGATTTTTAACTGTCAGCAACAAACCTGGCAACACCCAGGAGGGGYTTCAGTGTACAAGTACATTTAATATTTTACCCAATAAATCTGAGGTTTTACTTCACAAAACACAGAGCTGCATGTGTATATGCGTTCGGAAGACATTTTTAGATTAGTTCCTGACCACCCCTGACGTTTTGTATCTCCTTAAATGAAGCAGTTCTGTGGGTTTATCTGTAGTGGACTGTACGGTCCACGCCCTTAACGTAACGTTAGCAACTTGAAGCTAACTGCTAACATTCATTAGCCTGTCAGTCTGGACTTCTGCTGAGTACAAAACACACTTTTACATTTTGAAAAACGTCGGGCAGCACAATCTTGACTTCCAAACCACGCACCCAGACCACCAAGAGCTAAGTTTGTTTTAGCTTACAGATGTCCTGAAGGGTGATAAACAAACTTACAGTTCCTGATATCGGAGATGAACACAGCCAGACCACGCATCCCATCTCCTTTAGAGACTGCCGGCATTTTGTTCACTCTCTGTTGACGCTCTAGTTTCTCTGGAGTAATATAAATAACTCAACTGTACGGATTAACTTTGTTTCCAAGTTGCTGGGGGGGTTTTCTAAGCAGCTGGAGCCTCGCGGGCGCTGTGAAGTCAAGGAGCCCCGATGTGTGTGTGTGTGTGTGTGTGTGACAGGAACCAGGCAGAGGACGGCTGCGTTCCATTTCCCAAGGACCCACACCCTGCCTGCTCACCACAACAAGAGCAGGGCTGCGTTCCATTCAAGTTCACGATCGTTTGCAGTTCTGCATTGAGCCGCAGGGGGGCAGAGGTGGACATGTACGGAGGTACATAGAACAGAAAATTTGATTTTGTAAGTTTGCCCACTTGTACGGAAGTGAACAGTGTCAATTTTATGGTAGTTTCGCTCTAATAGTAAGAGGAGACAACTTATCAAATAAAAATGTGAAAATTATTTTAGGCGTATGAGTATTTCTGGGTTCCAAAAACTATATGTCTATGTTGCAATAAAAAAAACAATTAATCATTGTCAGATTTGATCTCAGCTCCTTGTGTAAAGCATATCTGCCTACAGAAAAAAAAAGTTATTAATCCAGCCTATCCACCACTGTGGACAAGACCACAGAGCTGTCAAAGTTCATCAAGGTCCTGACAGTAGAGCTGCACACATCTGGAATGGGCCACAAGACCATCAGCACTTACTTGGAAAGACAAAACCAACAAAACACACTACACAATAAGTAACTGAAACCATTCAGCCCTCGCAACGTCCTACCCTGTCTACGCTCACTGGCCAAATTATGTGTCATCTAATGTATGTTTGACGTCCTGCAGCCTTGACCATTTTAGATCCATGAGGTCTAGTGATCATTTGCTTTAAGTTCTAACAAGATATATTATACAGRGGTGACCGAGTCTTTGCAGTTGCAGACAAAACCCCCTATACCACTCACAACTCGCACCCACCTGAAGCAGAATTTATTCTGGGCTTAACTTTCTCAAATCAACAGTTAATTATCTCCACAGGCACATAAAAAATGGTGTAAAAAAAAGCTAATTTATTTAAATGTACCAACTCTCTCAATTTCTTCTTAAAAAGCCTAACAAGACGGCTTATGCATTAATGGAAAATTTCCCACGTTTTTCTGAAATAATGCTAAAATACTAAAACTGTTATGATTCTACCTAACCATTCCTTAAACAGTGTCTTTGCTCAGGTGCAAAGCCTACTCAAATTCTGCCTCATTTAAAAGAACGTGACGTACTGGTACCTCTATTATCCACGTGAATGATTTCTAAACGATCCAGTGAGGTAGAAAAGCCAAACGATAATACAATAAAGCTACAAAAATGAGCATGTGGTTGCAGACTGACCTTGTACCACGACGAAGCAGGAAAACAATGCAATGTTACACAAAGACAGAGGCTCTGTAATTGTATAAACGGAGACTAGATGGATCACCTTGCTTTTCATTAAGCTTCTTCAAGAAGCTGCACCAAGGTCAGATTCACCTCTCGGAGAAAACATGGCAGTTAACTAGCCAGCCGACCTGCATTAGTGATTTGCATCACAGAGGGTTAGTGAGGGTCAGATCCGGCTGTAAATATGTTTAGATATGCCAGGTCTCACAGACAATCTTCTAGAGACTAAATTAAAGAAGCAGATAGAGACTTCCTGTCTGTTGCTAATCTACAATCACTCATTGCAGAGGAACTGTCCTTGGAGTCAAATATGGCCTAAGGTCTGTCTCTACGGACTGGCTGATTGACTAGTTGGCTGGTTACATGAGTAGCGAGTGTCATACCTGCAGAGGACAGCATTCAGTTCTACCTCAGTTTGGAGAATCACTGAGAAACGTCCTTTGTGGAATCAAGCTGACATCTTAAATGACTCCAACCTTCAATGTTTTAGTGGTTTGTGTAAACTTTTTACACTGTCATCATTGAAATTCCTTCAGGAAGTGCTCCAGAGTCCTGCTTCTGCCACTGTTCTTCATACATTTGCAAATAACAACAGAAAAAAAACAGGTAAATAAACATGTAAATGGGAAAAACGAAAGAGGAATTGCATTTTCTACAAACTGGAGTATGATTGCTAAATTACTTTACTGAAATTTGCTGAACAAGCTGAAACTGCAGTGTTAAAGCTAAAAGAAGCAGTACTCCTGGAAAGAGCTAAAGAGAAAATGTCACCTAAAAAAAGCACTAGCTTAAAACCTAAACAAAATCCTAACTAAAAGAAACAAMAAGCTCTCCCTGGAAAGCCCAACATATCAAAATGCCTACTAAAAAATAAAGGTAGTAAAATAAAAAAGCTCAAATGAGCAAAACAGTATATAAAAGCTAAAAGAAACAAGATGATAGCCCAAAGAAGTAAAACCATAGCTAGAAGCTAAGGGTAGCAGAGTAATATCTAAAAGCTAAACGTAGCAAAAGGCTAGATAAAAGTTAAAAATGGCAGAACATTAGCTAAAATTTAAATGCATTAAGACAAAACTATAGAGCTGAGGCAGATTTTAGCTAGCAATGTTTTTGTTCACTGTATTTATAAGGATTCTTCTTTTAAATAAAGTTAAATAATTGGCCAACTATAACATTCACAAAAAATATAATAAAATCATAGCATTTGTCTCCTGAACTAGCTGAAAGATTTGATATATAAAAAGCTAAAACAACCAAAAAAAAAGCTTTTTGATTGAAAAAATGCACAGAAAAACAATATAACAAAGAAACAGGGGAAAATGACAAATTTATTTACTACTTTAAATTCTTTGAACAGCATGTGGACAAAAGCTTCTGCTCTACTTTCCTCCTCCGTCAGCTGAAACCTGGTTCACTTGAAGGCATTTAGGCCCATTGAACACTGAGTGTAATGAAGTCATTATTGTGGTGCCCAGCTGTGGTGTCCGAGCCATGTCACTCATGATGTGTCCTAATTTCCTTTCTGCTGAAAATGGACAAGCTCTCCCTCCTCTGTTGCACCCTCCCCTGCCCTGCACCATAAATACAGCAACATGTTTCTCCTTCTGACACTACATCTGTACAGTAGCTGCTGTATAAATCTTTTAGTGCTTGACTTAAGCTTTCAGCTGCTTTAGATGACTCTGAGGAAAGCCAATGAACTTCTCTGAGGAGTAAACACACATTGTCAGGATGTCTACTGATCCCGAGACAGTCGCCAAGAAGTCCGACGAACCCGGGTCATGTCGAGGAAAGCCTTCAGATTCTGTCCGTTCTGAGAGAAAGCCCAACACTGAAGTAAGTAGCACCAAATATGTTTGTCTCTGTGTCTTTTTACTTTTTTAAAAAGTCTGAACTGAGAGGAAAAAGTAAAGGTTCTGCTTCATTTAATCTCCTTTATGTTGTCTGCTAACTTCTCAGTGAGTTCTTGGTGTTAGACTAAAAACTATACTAATTATTGTAAAAGATAACATGTGAGGAAAAACTGTAAGATTTCAGTTTGAAAGAAAATTTTCCACAACTCTCTGTGGAATTTTTATCATCCCTTTCATTTTCAGATGGAGAATTAAACTACTTTTCAGCACTAAATTAGAATTAATAAACATAAAGTTCAGTAAAACAAAAAACATCGTCAGTGCAACAAGAACATGGTTACTGACAATATGTCCAATTAATTATTTCCCATTTTAAAAAATGTTTTGTGTATAATAACAGAAAATCCACTAAGACATCTTCAGTTGTTTCAAAATATAAAATAATTATCACACTTTAATGAGAACAGAGTAAATACATACAGCCATCACAAGAATTGTATTTATAGGTTCAAGTGAAAAAGAGATTACAGTAAATTAAAAAAATGAATAAATAAGGAACAAGATAAAGATTCAAGGACTGCTTCAAAAAACATGAAACAAGTTTTCTGTCCCATGTAATGCTGAAAACTTGTTTGATAATTGGGATTAAAATTCATAATCTGGTTGCCAATTGCCAAGAATCCTCTGAAAGCAAATGTCAACCTGAGTGGCTAAATCTTTTATGTTTTGTCTGAAAGTAAAAGGATAGCTCAAACATCCTGAAGTGAAGAACAAGTTGTGAACAAGAAATATCTTACCTGCTATAGGTGACTCTTTGAACAACCTCAGTTTGGAGTTGTTTCGAACAGGACTGATGAGCTAACAGGTCCGTCAGGATTGAAGTAGACTGCTGCTATTTAAAGACAACTCCAGTTACCTGGATCTGTATATGTGGAAGTCAAAGACAACAAAACAAAAATTTACAAACTCTTGTCCAGATGAAATAAAACTCGACAAAACGAAAGAGAAAATAGGAACTCATTGTTCAATAAGACTTAGGACAGGAAAAAGATATATTTTAAAAAGTAAAATGAATATGATATTCTCTCTGTTTTGTTTGAGTGACTGGCAGATCTTAGTTTTGACGTTAATGAACCTGTAGAAGAGGCTGTTTAGGTT